TAAGATTACATCATAGATGTGTTCTGACATATTGCCTTACAGTGAGATACAGTTATTAGCTGCTATAACCAGTGAAAGAATTGATTGCAGTTTGTTCAGCCGTCAAATCTTTTCTTCGATATCAAACAGGATTTCTAGCTAAAAACTGAACATTTAGAAGCTACATTTAATCTCCAAACAGAACTCCCAAGAACACACGCTAATGAGCATCAACTAGCAGCACAATACTTGTGTAATTGGTCACGAAAGGTGAAGGATCTGATGTGCTTTCTCCTCTCGGTTTTTCAAAAGATCAAAGGTGGCATTTAAAGAAACGATCTCTTGTTGATAAGCCGCTCGGGACTGGATGAACTAATTATTCTCTATGATCTGTCCTGGAGTGGCATGCAAAGGCAGCAAAGGAGTAGGAGGTTAAGAACTTTTATTCTGTTTGCACCAAACACAAATGAAACAGACGACTGGAAAAGCAGGTCCCAAAAAATATATCTCACAAAGGGAGGAGAATATTAATACCTTCAAAGCTTTTCCACTGGAGCTTTGACACTGTTTGTGTACTTATAGATTAAGTACTTGTCGCACCTCAGAAAAAAACACAAATGCGTGGAACCGCCCTAAAATCTCTAAAATGCTGAAAGAAGAAAATTATGAACAAAAATATTAATCCAACTGAGGGATTGTTAACTTTAGGCTGGACTATTCTAATTCGGTTCTATTAGGTCTCTGAAGAGCCTTCAGCCAATCCCAAATCGATTTTAAAATCCTTCATGTTATAGTAAATACAAAAAGCCGAGATGACAGAGGTTCATTAATATCTTTAATACCCCATCAACCATTTTATCCAAGTTCCTCTCAGAGTTCAGGTGTATTTGTGATTCCTTTCTAAACGTGGAAAGAAAGGCAGGACCTTTAGCGACTAGAATTCTTTCCTGTGGAATCAGCCTAAGCTCACCTATTCTCTTGGTGAGCTTTCATTCTGAAATGCATTGAGCGCCACGCTTTTCAGTGTCTAAGGTAGTCTGATAGGGTTCAATAGTTCTTCACATCTGAAACAGGCACAGACAAAAGTGAAATGATGGTGTCAACACTGACATAAGACATGTAACAGATATGTCTGAGAAGGCTTTTTTGCCTTTATCTAAAATAAAATAGTACGTTAGTGTGTAGAGTCAGAAAAATCACAATAAGGCTAAAATATGTGGAGAAGGAATTCTTGACCGAGCGTCAGGAGTGAGAATGTGTTAGTTTAACCTTAGAGCCCACAGGTCATTTAGAACCGTGTGTTCAAATATATTAATTTAAAATGAACTTGTCTTTTTTCCTGTAGTGTGTGCCTTGCCTCTGTGCTCTCTCCTTCTGAGTCTCCCGGCTCCTGTTCTGCAGCGACCTGCTCCAATGTGCACATATTTAGTTTGTTTCTTCGTTACTTTGTTTGCGTTTCCCTCACTTCAGCCATGGAGACAGATGGCTGCCCTCCCTGAATCTGGCTCTGTTGGAGGTGTCCTCATGTTAAAAGGGAATTAGTTCTCTCCAGTATTGTCAGGTGTTGTTGGATTTCTCCCTGTGATATTTTTAAGTTTTTGCCTCAGAGTCTAAAGTACCCACAGTTGACTGATGTTATTGCAAACTAAGAGTATGAATATATATGAATAAAACTGAATTTAACCTATTCAGTAACCTGAATAATGTATCATTGAAACCCTGTGACAGTAACAACCTCCACATTAAACCTAATATAATATTGTAGGGTGTCATTCCCATGCTAGCTGAATCTAGTTTAAAACTGGCACTAGGTGGGTTATTAATCTAAATTCATAAGATAAGAAACATAACAATGGAATTTAAAAACTAGTTATGACTAAAATGTCTGCTGCTGGCATCAGAAGAAGGTGAAGAGAGGAAAAAAGGGGGGGGAAAAGACTAAAACAAACCCATGATTCAAAGAAATATTACAAAAGTGGCAAAGGACCTCTAATCTATGAGGACAAATTGAAGGTTTCTTCAGATAGAAAGCACTCGAGGTGACTGTGAGCCACAAACATGTCAGTTCAAAGAGAAATTCATGCAGCGGGGCACTAAACGAAGAACTAAATGGAACCATGAACCATTTCTTGTTCTTTTTCTGACATTTTCAATAGCTCTTTAACTTTCAATGCCAACTAGAACCACTAATTCCAAGTAAACACGCACCTGTAGTTGTAATAGTTCAATGTCGCACTGAACTCACTTAACAAAGCAGCCACTTTGTGTAAGGTCCCAAATTTACCTCCTAAGAAGTGCCGTCAAAAGACAGATTTGATTCATGAACGAGCGCTGATGAGCTTTATTGTTTAAGGAGACAGAGTCACAGATGGGAGATGAGATAATTTAACATAAACTTAATGGCTCCTGATGGAAACTTCTCACTTCTGTCAGCCTCCTGCCAGGTAGGTCAGTAAGTTAACTGGGATTCTGTGTTTTGCTCAAGGGCTCTCCTCTCAGCACGGGGCCGTGAACCCACTCGCACCCCCGCATTAAGCCAAAGTGAACTAAGCTTGTGGCATTTAAGAGGCCCAAGAAACAAATCAGAAATGAGAATGTGAAATAACCCAAAGAACAATGAACACAAAAGCAGATCTCAGATGTGACTGTTTATGAGTGTAGATACTTATTTCCCATCTAGGGACAAAACTATGGACACCACAAACTAACTGTTAGGGTTAAGACTGTGCTGTAGAGTCCACACGTATATAGAACATGCATTTATTCATTAGTATAAAGGAGGGACAATGGACTGATTGCTATACTGTCAAAAAAATTACAGGAACACTTTTTAACACGTCTGAGAGTATAACAACAAATCAAATACATTTGTGGGACGTTGATCTGAGCAAGTAGCAGAGGGAAGTGTTGATCTGTTTTTATTAAATTAACAACACCAGCAGTAGAGGGGCAACGATGAGACAACTCCCAGAACAGAAATGATTTTGCAGGTGGACATTGTTCCCCTTCTCATCTTTTCTGTCTGTTTTTCACTAGTTTTGAGGGTCAGTGTCACTACTGGTAGTGGCACAGGTAGTCCAAGAAGGGGGCCTGAGGGCCTGATGATTTGAATTTTGAATTTGAATTTGATGTCATTTAGTTAGCCCTGTGTTCACTGCCCAGCACCTTGGAGCTTGACTGGTATTGCCAGCACCAGAAATGGAAAAGAACCCTGAATATGTGTGACAAACATGAAGGGGTCTGAAGGGCAGTCTTACACTGCCTGTAACATTGTTCAGTATGACTGGTTTGTTGCTGGGGCAGGGGGGCATATCCATGGACCACAGCCTTCTGTAGGGTAGGACACATCTTCATCTCAGCCATATATTTCCTGATACCATTGTTCATATTTTGCACTCTTCCTATTGTAGAGCACTTAATGATATATGGACTGTGTTAACGTTTATTTAGTCTTGCTGCCCGATCAACCAATTTATTAAGATCACACAGCCTCACGGATTCTCTCATTACATACTAGAGGTTGCAGGACGTAGAGAGCAGCTTAAAGCATGAATGCAAACACAAACAAATTGAGATGATTATCACTTCAGGTGCTCATCAAATTTTCAGGCTTCATTAACTGGTAAGTGAATGGTAAACAGACTGGTTCCTATATAGCGCGATTCTACTCTGAGCACTCAAAGCACTTTCCACAACTTACCTCATTCAACCATTCAGACCCATTCATACAAGCACCTTTCTATGCAAGTGCTTTCTATCTACCATGCACGCACATTCATACACTGATGGATGCATCGGAGCAACATGGGCTTTCTAAATCTAAGCAGGTTGTTTTCTATGTATGTTTTAACTACATTGATTTTTCATGTAATCTATAAATAAAAATAGTCAAATTGTCATTGTAAAGCAGCCACATTCACTGTGTTCACATGCTTTTAGGTCACAAAGTGAAAACAATATGAATATTACAAAGCAAAAGCTCAGAGTGTTTAGACAACAGCTGTTTCCAATTTATGTTTAATTTACCTGAGTTATTATGAGAATCACTGGTAATAACTAACTTTTCTAACTAATCTAACAAAGTCACCCGATGTGCAGTAGAACTAAAAGACACTTAGTTAGAAATTAAATGCAAGGAAAATGTAATTACAATACATTCATTTTCACAAGTTAAAGCATTTCTTATAGTGAACATAAACTAGAAATATATCATACTAATTAAGCCTATGCCTGTGATAAAAATATTTTCTGTGTGTGTGTGTGTGTGTGTGTGTGTGTGTGTGTGTGTGTGTGTGTGTGTGTGTGTGTGTGTACTTGCAGAAAAATTATGAGGCTACAATGTCGTCCTTAGTCTAAAGTCTGATTTGATATGTACAAAACTATATTCCCTATTAGTTGCTTTATTCAAAAATAGATTTTATTGCTGCAGTTATATTCTCCAGGGTTTATGTCTCTGCACAGCCTAAAATGTACTTCTTAGCATACAGTGATTTGAGGCAAAATGACAAACAGGCCAGAAATGACATTTGCAGTACTCAGACCCCAGTCGACCGCAAACCACCCTCAGGTGTTTGGTACTATAATAATGAATCTTTTTAACTTGCAGTACCATATCTTGGAACTAAAACCTTTCTGCAACAGCAGAAGTGATAGCTAGATTTGAAGAAGCCAGTGAAGAAAAGGAGTTTCCCAGATCAAAGCAGAAATCCTTAAGGAGCGCAAAATTGGTGCAAATTGCTGTGGCATGACTTGAAACTCAACCAACTCAGAGCAGTAAAGAGGGAGAGAAAACATCATTACATGAAGGAAAGTGGAGAGAGAGAGAGAGGGGGGAACAGGAAATGTCAATGTGTCTGTATCTGTGTTTGGGATTTGGCTGTTTTGTATTTCTTGTGCTCTCTAGGGTTGAACCACTACTAAATACAATGAACTGATTCTAAAATGTATGCAAGGCATGCAATATGTTTTTGTAGTGAGTGTGTAAGAGCAGCGTAAAGAGACAGGAGAAAGAGTCTTCCTACCTCGTGCAGTTTCACTCTCACTTTGTTGTAGGCTTTCAGCCAGCGAACTTTGGACGGAGAGCAGGGTGGAGGGCCATCTACGAAGAAACTGAGGACCAAGAAGAGATCAGCTTTTGGACACATAGACAAGACCGAAATCAATCAACATAAAATTAAATGTCTTCTTGGCTAAATCTGGTCAGCCAGTCATATATTTAGTTTAAAAATAATCCCTGAAAATTTGGCTGTTTTTATTCTGGCTGAACTGGTCTCAATTTAGCCCAGTTTGAGCATCGTTTTGGACACTATGTAGTCTTAATACAGATCCAGCAATCCCATCCAGCAAAACTCATTGAAGACAATGTTGCCAGATATATTGGCTGTCTGAAAGATGAAAGGACATCTAGAAAAGTCATAGCTGTAAAGGGTTTGGGTTTGCCTCTGGAAAGGTCATCTTTTCAACAAGTATTTATTGGGTAGGTTGTCGTCACTACTTTGTTACTAAAAGCCAATAATTCCTTCTGGTATCTCACAAACTAAATGCTGTGTACAGTGATGGATATTTTGGTTAGGATTACCAGCTCAATTACTTTGAATATTTTTAAAAATGACAATGCAAGACCCACATACCCATTTGTCTGTCTCTTGTTATCGCAGTTGTCCAAGGTTGGTTTAGGAAGGATGTCGGAAGAGTCCTTTAAATCTTTCTTAGAACCAGGCTCTGGCAGTGCATGCACGTCCTTTTCAGCATCGTCCTCTTCTTCCTTGTTCCAGTTGGACGGCTGGTTTTGGAGAGGAGGGCGAGGCTTACTGGGGTGGCAGGACTCTACATGTCGGCGCTCTTCAGGCTCAGAGCTCAGCTGAGAGCTGACTGGGCTGAGGTTGCCTGACGAATCAAAGTGGCTGCTGTCTGGAGGGCTGTAGACAGCAACATCACAATTTAGAATACGGAGGTGATTTAGACAGAAAAATAGTATAAATGTGCAGGTTTTATTCCAAAATCAATATGGAAATCTGCAATTTACAAAATGGTAGTAAGGAACTGATTGATTGTGGACATTTTATTTGCTTTAATACTGAAAAAAAAGTTCAGTTTGCAATGGCAGACATGATTTTGGAATGAAACATTAAAGGATCAAAGGGGAATATAAGGGTCAAAGGATACTCTTTATCATATCACAAAGAATATCACACACAACAAGGAAAACTAAGAGGGTTCAGGAAGATAAGTTGATTAAATACATTTCTGTAACAGTCAGGTCAAGTGAGGTTCCACCAGGATTGCAAAATTGATGGTCATGACTATGTGACTATCTGCCATCACTGGAAACTTTGTGCATTTTTGGTTGATGTGTCATTTTTACTAATTTTGCAGTCTGCTTCTCCTTGTTCTGCATGTTGCTATCTTTTCTGACACCACCACTTGTTAAAAATTGTGCACAACTTTTAAGAGCATGTGCAAGTTTAAAGCAATGTTGGCATGTTAGTAAAGAAAAAGTTAACCTGTTTAAGTAATAGGGATAAAACTGATAAATCTCATAAGTCATCGACTCAGGGGCTGGAAGACTGAGACTCCTGGCTCTGTGCTTTAACTTGCACGATTTACTTTCTGTTGGGTGTGGGCCAAACCACTTCTCCTTGCTCCTTTTATTCCAGAGTCCAGCCTGCCTCTACGGTGTACGCTGTAATGCCATGATAAATCTATCAGTTTGATTCATATAAACAAATTGGCTAAGGCTTGGAAATAATTCAGAGAACTGCAGGGGACAGAGGAAGGAGGGGCTTTTTAACCACCTCACCAGTGGAAAGGTAATAAATAAGAGCCGCCGGTTTCGTCATTCATTTTGCTTCCATCACTGTCACAAAAGCTATTACTGAGGTGGTGTAAGCACAAAATAGCTGCAGTACATTTACACTTGATGGTTAGCACTTTCTAAACATGTTATCATTTCCTGTGCCTCGATCATGTCAGATATCTGGTAACTGGTTTCCATGTATGGCTATGGAGCCATACAAGAGTTGCAGAATGAGAATGGGACTGGAGTGTCCTAATGAAAACTAATTAGGGAAAAGGGGGGAAAATGGGAAAAGAAAAGCGGGAAAAGGGCTGTACATTTATCTATGCTAGCATGATAAATGAAGAATGCCATTTATCATGTACATTGCACTAGCCTTTTCATAGCTTCCTTCGTTAACTGTTCCTTTGGTTGATCCATTTCCAGTTCTGCATGCACGACATCAGGTGCGTTTACTTCACTCTTATCTAACTCACATGGGGTGACCATTAACTGAGGTGTATCCAAACTTTCTATTTGGGAAACAGAGTGCGAAGGAACACCAGACAGAGGTGACTGTGCTAAGCTGTCACAGCTTCCTGTTTTTGAAGTTTCTGTTGGTCCTTCTGTATCACTGCCATCTTCACTTTCAGTTTCTCCAGAACCTGGGGAAGGTTTATCAGGTTCTGGATCGTCACATTCAGCAGGTTTTGGAGTTTCAGACTGAGGCTCTACGCTGACCACAGGAGGGGTGGATTCAGGTCTGGGAGAGTCAGAGTTACCAAACATTGAGGTAAGTTTCATGCCGAACACAGATGAAACAGATGCTTCCTCCTTTCCAGTTGACTTTTCATCATGGAAAATACCAGCTGAAAGGCTTTTAAAACCAGAAAATAGACCACCATCAGTTTGCTGTGTCTGAGGTGCCTTTGAAGCAGTGGCTGGAGATGTTGAGGTGGAGAAAAGGGATCCAATCGATGATGTACCTTCAGCAGCTACAGACAAAAAGCCTAATTTTGGGGCAGTGAGACCTGGAATTTCAAAGATGCCCTTGTTTTCTGGAGCTGTGGGGGGTGGTGCTGCTTTGTCAGACACTGCAGTAACTGGCCCTTCTGAATGCTCTACATGTTCATCATCCCCTGATTGTTTCTCAGTAGTTTTAATAATAGATTCAGTGAGAGAATTTCCTTCTGCTTCCGTTTCTTTTTGTTCCGTCTCCTCCACCAAACCTTTTTCAGGAAGTTCAGATTCTGTGCTCTTGACATGTCCATCTTCAGATAAAGGTATCTCTGGTTTTTCAGTGATTGCACAGTCTGTCACACTAGCAGAAAGCTCATCAGGTCTACACTGTGTACCAGACTGTTGAGTTTCCTCAGGTTTTGTTGTCTCGGGACCTTTGAACATACCAAGTAAGTCACTTGTAAGAGATTCTGAAGCAATACTACTTGGAAGGCCAAAAAATGAGCTTTTCTGTTGTTGCTGTTGCGGTTGTGGTGGTGGCTGACGAGGCGCAGGTGATGAACCAAAAAGTGAGGCAGCTGAACTTGAAAAAAATCCACCAACAGTTGGTGATTTACTTTGTGTATTTGGGGCAGAGAACATAGACATAAACCCAGAAAATGGAGCTGGTTCAGGTGGCTTTTGTGGCCCTGGCTGTCTTGGACCAGCCATTCTTGGCCCACTCATTCGTGGTGCTCCCATTCGCGGCCCACCCATTCTTGGTACTCCCATTCTTTGGACTTGTGGACCAAGAGGCCTGGTCATACCCGGCCTAGGTTGTTGTTGTGGTGGAGGAGTTGAAGGAGCAAGAGGTGGAATTGAGTTGGTACCAATGGTTTTTTCTTCATTTGTTGAAGAGGCCACTCCTGCCAAAGGTGAACTTTCAGATACCTTTTCTGCAGGTTCTGTAGTAGCATGCTCTAATTCTGCCTCAGTTAGTTCCTTCATTGTCTCACCAGATGTGACTTTAAAGTCTGCCAAAGGTGTACTTTCATAGACTTTATCTCCAGGTTCTGTAATAGCATGCTCTAATTCTGCCTCAGTTATTTCTTTTATTGTCTCACTAGATGCGATTTTTGAGTCTTCTTGGACAGCTTTTTCAGAATCTGAAACTGCAGTAACTACAGACTCTGTAGTAACGGTTTCTGGTTTTTGTACCACAGAATCAACTACATTGGTATGTTCAGTGGATTTTTCCTCATCTGTCATTACCTTTTGTTCATCAGCAACTTTTTCCAGCTCACTAGTTAATTTTTCTATAACTGCCTTTACTGTATTTTCTTCACTAGCATCTTCTGAAGTGTGCTCAGTTGATTCTTCTATTTCCAGAACAGCTTTTTGTTCAAAGCTGTCAACTTTCAAAGGCTCTTCAGTTAGTTTTTCTACATCTGCAACTACTGTCTTTTTTTCTGCAGCAACTTTCAAAGCCTCCTCAGATGTTTTTTCTATACCTGTAACACTAGTTTCATCTTCATCAGCAACCTTCAGTAGCTCCTCACTTGGTTTTTCAATCTCTGAAATTGCTAGCTCTGCATTAGTAACAGCCTTATCTTCAACTTTATTTGAACTTGGGTTCTTGTCGGTAGACTCACTAGAAACTTGCAATGCCATTTGCATAGTGTCATTTTTCTCTGAAAGACTTTTGATATCAGCTGTCTCTGCTTCGTCACCTGTGGACTTACTTTCGTCTTTCAAGCTATCAAGTTCTGATTCTGCAAATTTTCTCTCAACATCTACGCTGTCTTTTATCTCTTTATTTTCTTTTTCCGTTTCCGACTCTGCCTGACAAACTTGTTTTTCAGCCTCCACAAGTGTCTCTTTAGAAGTCGTGACATGAGTGTCCACAGTGGAAGCTTTAACCGTGTCTGATGCGTTTTCATCAAAGGGCAATTTCTGTTGTATTGTGGTTTTATTTTCTATATCTCGATCTGTCGAGGGAACAGACATTTTCGTAACATTTTGATCGATGTCTGCAGTTGAGTCTTTGACATCTTGGCATGCCTGTTCTATTTGAGATTCCATCCGAATTGACGATGTAGAAAGAAGCTCTGGGGATATAATTTTTTTGTTCTCAACACAGTCACTCCTTTCTTGTTCTGAGTCATCCTTTGTGCCTTGAGGTTTCACTTGTTCTGAGGCAATTTCCTCCTTATCTGATGATACAGAAAGAGGCTCTGGAGAGACACTTTTTATCTTCTCAACGTGGTCATTCTTTCCTTCTTCCAAGTTATCCTTTGTGTCTGGAGGTTTGACTAGTTCTGAAACAATCTCTTCCTTTACAAAAGCAGTTGTTTCTTGTTCGGGTTTGGTTTCCTCCAAGAAAGACATCCCAAAAAGACCAAACCCAGTTTTAGATTTGTTACTATCAGAACTCCCACCAAGTGAAAACACAGAGGAAACTTTGAAACCTTCTGATTCAGGTGGTTTAGAAACTGGTAATTGTGCTTCTGATGCTTGTTGGCTTTGTCCACCAAACATCGAAAACAGTCCTTTTCCTGTTATCTCTGAACTGCTGGGTCTTGGTGGTGTAACAGTTGGCCCAGGTGGGCGTACTCTAGGACTAGTTTGAGACTGGGCACCAAGACCACCAAACTTTGAAAACAAACCTGCTCCAGGGGTTTCTTTATTTGTAGTAGAACCAGGGAGTATGCCACCAAATATAGAAGATCCAGTAGAAGGTGCCCTTGGTGTAGCACTACCCATAGGTTGACCTCTGGGACTGGGTGGTTGCTGAGGTGCAGATGAACCAAACATGGAAAACAGACCCTTTCCTGGAGGTTCTTTGGGTGGAGGACCTCTAGGTCGCACACTTCCAACAGTTGGACCTCTTGGAGCAGGTGATGCTTGACTACTGGCTCCACCAAACATGGAGAATAAACCTTTTCCCTGTGGCTCTTGTGGCGTTGGTGTTGTTTCTTTGGATCCAGGTGAAGATGGGGTACTTGACCCACCAAACATTGAAAGCAATCCTGTCCCAGGAGCGTCTTTGGCAGATGAGCCAGGAAGAATACCACCAAGTAATGATATACCAGGGGAGGAAGTCTGCTGTGAGTTTGGAGTAGAGCCACTAAATAAAGAAAATAATCCTTTACCTGCTTGTTCATCCTCAGGTTGATCAACCTTGCCAGCAGAACTGTCCTCCTT